TTGAACATCTTTCACAAATTTTTTGGATACGAAATCCTTGATATTCTGCCTTTGGGAAGCAATTGCCGATGCATTTCGCATGTGCATTTTTCGGACGGCGGGCAGGATGCAGGTCGCAATTTCTATCGGAAACCAAAAATTCAAAAAAAATCATATTTTTTAATAACTTATTCTCTAGTTAAACTAAGAAAATTCCAAAAAAAAGGTGTAAAATTAAAAAAAAAAAAATTAATATTGAAATAAATTGGTTTTTATCCAAAAGAAATTTACTTAATGTTGAAAAACCGAGAAATCGCGCGTCAAAGCTTTCGCCCAAGCGCTCATACATACATATATTATATTTGCTAGACCCTCGGTCACTATTTCGAAATCCCATCTATAACTGTGGGGACATATTCTTAGATAATTTTTAAAGAGATTTATTTGCAGCTTCTAAAGCCAGGCTACCCCATAAATAAAGATTTCGTATCAGAATTTATTGATCTTATAAAAAATTAATTAGTAAATTGGCAAACGAAAAGTGATAAATATAAAAATTAAATTGAGAAAAATAAAAGTTGGAATAACTTATTAACGAAATACAAAGAAATAGATACAAGTGCTACATTAGAAAAAAATTCCAAGAAATGTTTCGCTTGCTTGTGGCACGTATTATATTTACTGTGTGAAGAACGAACGAAAATGGATTTGTGTGTCGTGTATGGGCGAAATGAATTCACACAGAACTAACGCACATGTGTGTCGTGTATGAGCCCTATAAGGCATTGTAGTGTGGTTAGATGCAAAAGAAAACATACAACACGATTACAAGGGGAAAATATTGTAGAAACTGTTGCATTGTTGGATTGTTGGAAAGCAGCATTATTGATGAATTGGTCTGCGAACGATGGTCACGAGTCACAGCACGACATTTCAAACAACAGCTACGATGTTTGATAGACTTAATCTTGAAGCAACGTATGGTATATATGATGCTGTTAGATGCTGGATGTACTCTGTTGAGTTGCAAAAAAGAGGTTTGCCGCCCGCAAACATTCTTCTTTGGTTGGTGGTTACCCCAAATCAAAATGATGAAATCAATTCTGTGGAAATTGTTAATGCAGAGAAAGATCCAGTATTATACGAAGTGATGAAAACCAATATGGTTCATGGACCTTGCGGACACCCCAATCCCACTTCGGTTTCTTCGTCTGACAAGAAAAGCACGAAACGTCCTTTTCTTTCGGAAACGCAAACTGGAAATAAGTGATTCGTTTGCGAGAACATTGCTCTATTGGAAAATGCCTTGATATTTTTTTTTGAGTCATTGCCTACTGTGGATGGTACAGTGTGCGCAACTTTTTGAGAAGAATGTCATCAGTTACAATTGCTGGATCATGATAATCAATGGAATCAAACGATGGACTAGCTACTTTGCATGCCACTGAGGTTCGCATACTTTTCGCGATGATATCAGCCTTCAAATCCGCGTCAATTATGGAATACGAACAAAAATTATACTGCCGAAGATATTTTACATCGTATTCGATAAGCATTGGAAAGAGGAAAATTCCGGTTGATACTTCCAGTGTTTTGTGGTCAATTCCACCTGCCTTTTGTCAATTCACTTCAACGAAATATGAACTGACACGATGGTTTATGGCCAAATTATCGAAACTTGCTTGAGAACACGCGCAATTTTAGCTGCCAAAAATACGAAGCCGTAAATTATCCAGTGGAATTTCTAAAATCTTTGGAGAGACTCAGTCGCATTATTTGTGTCTCAAAGTTGGATCTGCCATTGGAACTCTACTGATTGCGCCACAGATTCAAATACAAGGGTCAGAATGCAAGATTCTACGAATTCCTTTGAGTTCCAACGATTCGCCATTTTAGTTCGAATGTATTCAGTTTCTATTGAAAATTGCTTTTGCGTTGACAATCAACAGGCTACAAGGATAGTAGGAGTACCACAAGAATCTGTTTTAGGCCCTTTCTTATGAAATCTAGTTTATGATGGGGTGCTAAGAATTCCACAGCCTGTCATGGTACGCCAAAAAAAATAAACTAATAAGTTCTCAACAGGTCGGCTATAAAAGAGGGCACGGCACAGTCGATGCCTTGCTAAACCTAGATAATTTCGTCGCAAAGGCTCTGTCTAGTAGAAATCATGTATCTGTGTTGT